CCTCTGAGGATGCTTGCCATAGATGCAGGCGAAACGTCAGGAGAAATGCCTCTAGAATATGGCCATATAGCCCGAAAAAACCCACAAGAACCTAGTGATTCCAGCCATGAAAGACTTCGACAATACATGGGTTTTAGAGCAAATTAAACCAGGATTTTCCTCAAAGCCAAAAAGAGCAAACAACGGCTATCGTATTATTTATTTATTTATTTATTTGATGCACTTATTAACCGCCATTCTCAGCCCTTACGGGCGACTCATGGCGGTGTACAGTACACATAAAAAGACAATTACAAAAGCCAGTGTCAACAACATATAACTATACAACAAACACGAACTACATAAAAATCCGCTTCGTCTCTTAATAGAATCATAGCCAGTCTCATCTTCCTTATACCATTCCAGTTCTCATTGCCGTAATATTGTTGCTTAGCACATTAATTAAATGCCCTCTCGAACAGCCAGGTCTTAAGGCTTTTTCGAAAGGACATAAGGGAGGGCGCCTGTCTGATGTGTGCCGGGAGAGTGTTCCACAGCCGGGAATACATCATGAGGCAACATGAATACATCATGAGGCAACATGGCTCACTACAAGCGACAATAAAACTCAGGGCCCTTCCACACAGTCATATAATCCTGAATATCATGGCAGATAATCCACAATATCTGCTTCAATCAGGGTTATCTGGGGGCCTTTCCACACAGACCTATATCCCAGAATATCAAGGCAGACAATCCCACAATATCTACTTTGAACTGGGTTATCTGAGTCCACACAGAGATAATGTGGGATTTTCTGCCTTGATATTCTTGGATATAGGGTTATGTGGAAGGGCCCAGAGTCCACACTACCAGATAATCCAGTTCAATGTGGATTTTATACAGGTGTGTAAAGGGCCTTCGAGTATGGGCCCTTCCACACAGCCCTATATTCCAGAATATCAAGGCAGGAAATCCCACAATATCTGCTTTGAACTGGATTATATGAGGGCCCTTCCACACAGCCCTATATCCCAGAATATCAAGGCACAAAATCCCACAATATCTGCTTTGAACTGGGTTATCTGAGTCCATACTCAGATAATGTGGGATTTTCTGCCTTCATATTCTGGGATATAGGGCTGTATGGAAGAGCCCTAAGAGTGAGGTAGAGACAATAATGCAGTTGTATAACAGTTGAAAAGATGGTCAGCAACCATAATTTTATTTCTTTTCTTTTTTTCTATACATCTTTTTCTATACATGTCGGAGAGCGAAAAAGAATAGGGTGTGAATAAACATCATCTTCATCATCATTTAAAATAATTTTGAATCTTTAATAAAATAATTTTAAAGGCATTGTCGAAGGCTTTCATGGCTGGAATCACTGGGTTGTTGTAGGTTTTTTCAGGCCATATGGCCATGTTCTCGAGGCATTTTCTCCTGACGTTTCGCCTGCATCTGCATCTTTGCCTGGAGCAATCTTTTGTTGAGAGGTGATTAGATGTTCTTGTTTGTTTCATCTCTGTTGTTGTGCTGTTCTAATTTTAGAGTGTTTTAATACTGGTAGCCAGTTCATTTTTGTTCATTTTCCTGGTTTCCTCCTTTCTGTTGAAATTGTCCTTTTTCCTAGTTCCAACAGACCTCACTACCTTTGAGGATGCTTGCCATAGATGCAGGCGAAACGTCAGGAGAAAATGCCTCTAGAACATGGCCATATAGCCCAAAAAAACCTACAACAACCCATTCCCATTTTAAAGGCACTCATGCATGATAAAGTGAGAGGAAGCAGTAGTAAAAAATAATAGATGGGGAAAAGACACAGCAACCTGAACATGGAGGGCTTAACAGTACACTTACACCAGGCCTGAGCCAACTTGGGCCCTCCAGGTGTTTTGGACTTCAACTCCCACAATTCCTAACAGCCGGTAGGCTGTTAGGAATTGTGGGAGTTGAAGTCCAAAACACCTGGAGGTGTTGTAGTTCATCGGCGGGGAGGGGGGGGGGGGGGCTGAGGCAGAGCATTAGGCAGTAAAGCCTTCCTTCCTTCCTTCCTTCCTTCCTTCCTTCCTTCCTTCCTTCCTTCCTTCCTTCCTTCCTTCCTTCCTTCCTTGTGTCTGTCTTCCATTTCTTTATCTGCTCTATGAATATTGGTGAGATCTTTCGTTTTCTTTCTAAAGGAGCATTAAGGCCTTGTAGGCCCCTTTTACACTTTTCATATCATCCAGGTTAATATTACAGCAGGTAATCCACATTGTCTGTTTTGAATTGCCTTATATGAGGCCCCTTCCACACAGCTGTATAAAATCCACATTGAACTGGGTTATGCGGCAGTGTGGACTCAGATAATCATAGAATCATAGAGTTGGAAGAGACCTCATGGGCCATCCAGTCCAACCCCCTGCCAAGAAGGAAGAAAATTGCATTCAAAGCACCCCCGACAGATGGCCATCCAGCCTCTGTTTAAAAGCTTCCAAAGAAGGAGCCTCTACCAAACTCTGGGGCGGAGAGTTCCACTGCTGAACAGCTCTCACAGTCAGGAAGTTATTCCTCATGTTCAGATGGAATCTCCTTTCTTGTAGTTTGAAGCCATTGTTCCATTGCATCCTAGTCTCCAGAGCAGCAGAAAACAAGTTCACTCCCTCCTCCCTATGACTTCCTCTCACGTATTTATTTATACATGGCTATCATGTCTCCTCTCAGCCTTCTCTTCTTAAAGCTAAACATGCCCAGCTCTTTAAGCCACTCCTCATAGAGCTTGTTCACTAGACCCTTTATCATTTTAGTCACCCTCCTCTGCACAAGTAATACAGGCTATGATAACATGCAATAACAACCACAATACAAAGCAAAATACAAATACTAAAACAAAGCAATTAAAAATAAAACTCATACATAAATAGCATAAACATTGAACAATAACACAAAACACATTTAAAATTTATGGCTGGGCCAAATGTAATTAAAGTTAAAAAATAATGCTGGGCATGAACAAGATAGAGGAGGTAGGGCGTTGGTGGAAACGTACAATTAGTAGAATGAAGTATTGATGCAAAATCATCCACTATGCCTGATGAGGGCCTTTTCACACAGCCCTATATCCCAGAATATCATGGTAGAAAATTCTACAGTATCTGCTTTGAACTGGGTTATCTGAGTCCACACTCAGATAATGTGGGATTTTCTGCCTTGATATAAGACTGTGTGGTGGGACCCTGAGTCTACACTGCCAGATAATTGGTCATTCTAAGCCGTCATCATTTTGACTGATTATCATGTTGATAAAGTATGTAAACATTAATGAATGGAGCCATAGAAGATCAAATTACAGTAAATTTCTGTTAAAGCAGAGTTATTATGTAATTTAGATCATACAAGCGTTAGAAAATTTGCTTAGATTCTTTGGTGTTTATTAGCTGTAAATATCTACTAAAAGGATTCAGCTAGTGATATGGTTCAATTAAAACATCTGCCTAAGGCATAGTGGATGATTTTGCATCAATACTTCATTCTACTAATGTGGTATCAGTTTTTCCCCTTTGCATGTTAAATTGCACAGGCATACCATGCAGCATTAATGTTATCATAGACTGTATTACTTTTGCAGTGGCTTTTCAAGAAGATGGGATTTCTTTATAGAGTACTAGCCGTCCCTTGCCACGCATTGCTATAGCCCAGTCTGTGTATATGTGTGAGTATATATTTGTTTATATGTGTATATATATGTGTTTGTGCATATATGTGGTTTTGCGCATGCGTTGTAATGTAGTTTTTGTTTTTTGGCTTTTTAAGTCCCTTCCACTGTGTTTTTCAGTGTTTTTATGAGTGATGGTCACTCATTGGCCTGATAGGTGTATTGTGTCTAAATTTCGTATCAATTGGTCCAGCGGTTTTTAGAATCATAGAATCATAGTTGGAAGAGATCTCATGGGCCATCCAGTCCAACCCCCTGCCAAGCAGCAGAAAAATTTCATTCAAAGCACCCCCGACAGATGGCCATCCAGCCTCTGTTTAAAAGCTTCCAACGAAGGAGCCTCCGCCACACTCTGGGGCAGAGAGTTCCACTGCTGAATGGCTCTTACAGTCAGGAAGTTCTTCCTAATGTTCAGATGGAATCTCCTTTCTTGTAGTTTGAAGCCATTGTTCCGCGTCCTATAATAATAATAATAATAATAATAATAATAATAATAATAATCTTTATTTATACCCAGCTACCATCTCCCCAAGGGACTCGGTGCGGCTTACATGAGGCCGAGTCCACAATACATCAATAATAAAACAATAGCAAACAAACAATACAAAACAGTTAAAATACATATCATAAACAAAAATAAAATAAAATATAAGCAGTACAGTAACACAACAAGCATTTAAAACCTATGGCTGGGCCAAATGTAAAATTAAAATTTAAAAAATAATGCTGGGCATGAGCAAGGTGGGATATAACTGGGATGGAAATTTTCGGAGGGGATAGGGCGTGCAAATCAATCAATCCTAAATCAATAATAAAGTGCATTTTGAGGGCATATTGCTGAGAAATTCATTATTCTGGAAAGGCACACTGGAACAACCACGTTTTCAGGCTCCTCCTAAAAATTGTCAGAGTTGGGGCAGTCTTTAACATAACTTTTGAGTTATGTTAATCCCACAAATGAACATTACATTTTTATTTATATAGTTTTACCTGGTGGTGTAGTGGGTTAAAGCCCGGTGCCGGCAGGACTGAAGACTGACAGGTCACAGGTTCGAATCCGGGGAGAGGCGGATGAGCTCCCTCTATCATATCATATCAGCTCCAGCTCCTCATGCGGGGACATGAGAGAAGTCTCCCACAAGGATGATAAAACATCAAAAAATCATCCGGGTGTCCCCTGGGCAACGTCCTTGCAGACGGCCAATTCTCTCACAACAGGATGCTCCTGACACGACCAAAAAAAAAACCTGGACATTACATGGATTACTGACTATCTAATTGTGAGTTTATGTTTTTTCCTAATACCTTTAAACTTTCTTTAACCTAGGTAACAGAATGAGTGACCCTATCCTAAATGAGCTGGACAAGCTGCTCCTAGAGTTTGGTATGTTGCAGTGTTTCAACTCTGAAAGCATGTAACGCGTTCATTCTTTTTATGCCTTCACTTTCAAAATATTCTGAATCTCTAGTCCATTATTAATTTATTAATTAAAATATCTCTTGTTGTGTGCTTTCAAATGGTTCCCAACTTATGTAACCCTTAAGTGAACCTGTCATGGGATTTATTCAGATTTTTAAGAGCAGGTTTGGTTTTGCCTTCTTCTCATGGTGAGAAAGAGGTCCCTAGAGTCCGTTCCTGTCTAATATTGGAAGGCAAGCAGAGTTTGCAATAGTTACTATTGGATGGGAGATCACCAACCAATACCAGGTGCTTTGGGCTATAAAGGAAGAAACTCAAGGCCATCCCTTGAGTTTTCTTTTTCTGAGAAAACCCTATGAAATGAATGGAGACACCATAAGTCAGTGTTTCTCAACCTGGGGGTCGGGACCCCCGAGGGGGTCGCGAGGGGGTGTCAGAGGGGTCGCCAAAGACCATAAGAAAACACAGTATTTTCTGATGGTCATGGGGATTCCATGTATTTATTTATTTATTTACTTCTTTTGTATACCGCAAATATCAGCCTAAAAAGGCGACTCGAAGCGGTTTACAATAAAATGTGCAACACTGAACAATCTATATAACAAACATACACAAACAATACACATAAAAATCATCACGCCTAATTAGAATCAGAACTCGTTCTCACAGTCGTATTACCATTCCTTGTTCAATATGCTGTCATTCCTGAGTCAGTTGTTATTGCATAGTTATCCGAACGCCTGTTCGAAGAGCCACGTCTTAACCCTCCTCCTAAACGCCAATAGCGAAGGGGCCTGCCTGATGTCCGCTGGTAGGGCATTCCATAGCCGGGGGGCCACCACTGAGAAGGCCCTGTCCCTCGTTCCCGCCAGCCGCACCTGTGACGCTGGCGGGACCGAGAGCAGGGCCTCCCCAGACGATCTTAACAACCTCGCCGGTTCATAGGTGGAGATGCGTTCGGAGAGGTAAGTGGGGCCGGAACCGTGTAGGGCTTTATAGGCTAAAGCCAGCACCTTGAATTGTGCCCGGTAGCAAATTGGCAGCCAGTGGAGCCCCATCGTTGGTGAGTTCAGAATGGTCTTTGATTGTAGGTGAACTATAAATCCCAGCAACTACAACTCCCAAATGTCAAGATCTATTTTCCCCAGACTCCACCAGTGTTCACATTTGGGCATATTGAGTATTCATGCCAAGTTTGGTCCAGATCCATGAGTCCACAGTGCTCTCTTGATATAGGTGAACTACAACTCCCAAACTCAAGGTCAATGCCCATCAAACCCTTCCAGAGTTTTCCATTGGTCATGGGAGCCAAGTTTGGTTCAAATCCATTGCTGGTGGAGTTCAGAATGCTCTTTGATTATAGGTGAACTATAAATCCCAGCAACTACAACTCCCAAATTACAAAATCAATCCTCCCCCAACCCCACTAGCATTCATTTGGGTGTATTGGGTATTTGTGCCCAGTTTGGTCCAGTGAATGAAAATGCATCCTGCATATCAGATATTTACATTATGATTTATAACACTAGTAAAATGACTGTTATGAAGTAGCAAGAAAACAATATTATGGTTGGGGGTCACCACAACATGAGGGACTGTATTAAGGGGTCACGGCATTCGGAAGGTTGAGAACCACTGCCATAAGTAGACAGACAAGTAGGAGGCACATGCACATAAAATATTTCCATCCTGCTCTATATCACAAGTTCTCAGGGTGCTGTACAGTATAAACAGGTTAAAGCAATTTGAACCAACAAAAATAAATGAATAGTTAAAACAGCGCTCTATGCAGTCATGCCGGCTACATGACCTCGGAGGTGTCTATGGACAACGCCAGCTCTTCGGCTTAGAAATGGAGATGAGCACCAACCCCCAGAGTCGGACACGACTGCACTTAATGTTAGGGGAAAACCTTTATCTTTACCTAGTTAAAAACAGGTTTAAAAGATTAGAGTAAAACAATGTGCAATGCATTTTGAAGTAAATCAGACTGAATGACTATAATAAATAGAATTTTAATAAACTTTGCACCCAAAAGAGAGCATTGTTGATATCTGTCACTTTCACTGTAGGCCCCTCATGTACTCCTGTGTGACAGGAAGTATACATTACTTGAAAACATGGTTACCAGTTTTATGTATACATAATGGTGGGGAGAGTACAGCCTTCCAAACATTGTTATACTGCAATTATAATCAGCCTTAGCTAACATAGCCAAAGGTAAGAAATATCGGAGTTGCGATCCGGCAGTATCTGGAAGGCCACACATTTTTTATCCCCAAAGAAATAATTTCCCCTTCAATAACCAAATGTCTAAAAAGTACTCTTTGCCCATTAGGAAAACTGAAGGTAAAGCTACACATTACATGCAAATGTATTCAATGATATCCTAATAATGATGTCTAGGTACCGTAACTTTTAGGTGAATGAGCCCTGGCACTGCGGATTTTTTTTTTCGGGAAAAGATGACAGCAGTGGCTTAATTCTCTCACTGGCTATGAATACATACCTGTCTGTCTGAATGGCATGAAAGTGAGGGGGGAATAACACATTTAGCACAGTATATAGGTTTGAAAGTTGGACACTGGAAGTCTAGGGTTTGGATCTGTGCTGGGCCATGAAAACCCATTGGATGACTCTGAGCAAGTCACACTCTCAGCCTCAGAAGAAGGCAAGGGCAAATCATTTACTAACAAATTATATCAAGAAAACTCCTTAGGGTCATCATACATCTGTAGTGTCCTGAACACACAGCAGCAGTGACAGGGAGCTATGGCATCCTAAAGACTAACACTTTCTTTGTGTTTACTGAAGCAAACTAACATAACTATTCCTCTGGAAATTCTCTAATGCAGATAGGCTATACATGAACTATCTGAATACAGCAAAAATGGAATAAAATTAATATCCAAATGGCAGGGGTTCTTAAAATGCAAATTGATGTTATATTTAATATCTGATATGCAGTTACACCAAAACAAACGTATATACATTTATGATTCAGTTTTTCAGCTTGAGCAAGCATCTAATGCCAAGGAACACGAGAAACAACAGATAAAAAGTGAGTAGCCTTTGTTAATGTGCATCAAGCACACAGTATGATAGCTTAAAGCTATACTATTCATTAGGTCATGTCTATTTTGATAGCAATGTGGATCTCATAAGCGTATCACATTCTGCTTTGGCTGAGTTACTTCACAATAATTCATTATCTCCAGAAGCTTGTTGTACAAAGAGGTCATTCCACTGCTGGCATGCAGCTATAATGGTTTGTACAGAGACCGTTCACACATATAGGTCAGAAACATACTACATAGTGATATAAATATGAAACAGTTGCTCAGATTTATTTATCCAGAACTGTTTCATATTCATGATCTCTGCTTAGTCATGACTGTGATACTATTGCTGTGATTGTAAATCCTGTCTAAACCTACTTCACCAAAAGTTAGACACATAAAGAGAAGATTGATTCTGCCGGTAACTGAAGCATAGATTAATGTTTCTTTCCAGTTTGAGGTGGAGGTAGGGATTGGGGAGGGGGGGGGGCTGGGCCATGAGAGGTTCATGGGTTTATATTTAACTAAGGGGTGTCTATAGCATCAAAATAATCCTTCTGAAATTCAGATTATTCTTCCCATAGTCTGTCCTGGAGGTTCCCTCCATAGTGCCATACCTATTCTATTCTATTATTTATTTATGGCATTTCTACCCCACCTTTCTCTACCCTGGAGGGGACTCAAGGCAGCTTATGAGTAGGCAGCCATATGAAGCCATAGGATATGTACAATTACAAATATATACAATACATTAAAACAGTTTTAAAACATATAAAACAATACATTAAGAGTTAATCACATGATCCTTTAAACATAGTCCAGCTGTTCCAGTTAGTCAGTGCACATCAATTCCATATCTTTCTATTTCTCAAGTTCTCCAAATGTTTGGTCACAAAGCTAGGTTTCTATTTTCTTACGGAAGGTCAGGAGAGAGGGGACTGATCTGATGTCTCTGGGGAGAGAATTCCACAGTGTGGGGCCACCACTGAGAAATTGTGAAGGTCAGGAGAGCTCCAGGTCCCCAGTAGATCTCTTGTACATACGTGAAGCTAGTAGACAAACTAGCTTTATCTGTGAAACTTCCTAAATCTAGTTTTGTAACATGTGTTATAGAGGGGTTCTATTATAGCAAATTCTATACTTCATGGAATTTTGAAAAATCTTTTCAGTATATTCAGCAAGTATTCTTGAGAAGAAAGGTGAAATTTGTCAGTTACAAGAAGACATTCACAAAAATGATGAGTTGATTATTAATCTGCGCAAACAACATGGTGGCAATAAGGAGAACTGTGAAACGTAAGTACATCATGGAAACCTCAGTGTTTCTGAAATTTCAACTAGCTGTAATATCTTTGTATAATTAATCATTATGGTTTATTGTAGCCATTTAAAGACAAGCATGGAGCCCCCAGGGGTGCAGTGGGTTAAACCGCTGAGCTGAACTTGCTGACCAAAAGGTCGCTGGTTCGAATACAGGGAGCGGGGTGAGCTCCCGCTGTTAGCCTCAACTTCTGCCAACCTAGTAGTTTGAAAACATGCAAATGTGAGTAGATCAATAGATACCACTTTGACAGGAAGGTAACAGCGCTCCATGCAGTCATGCTGGCCACATGATCTTGGAGGTGTCTATGGGCAATGCTGGATCTTCAGCTTAGAAATGGAAATGAGCACCAACCCCCAAAGTCGGACATGACTGGAGTTAATGTCAGGGAAAACATTTAACCTAAAGCATAATTTGTTCTTGTTTAACTGAAACATGTTTATTCCACTCTTCAAACAAAAGTCGCTCAGAATGTCTTTTGGTGATTGTTGCTTGCATTCAGTCTTACAAGCTGATAGACATGAAACAGAAATAAAACATGACTGGAAAGAAAGGCAGGGGGAGGGACTCATGTTGGAATTACACTGCTGTATAATCCAGTTTCACAATACAGATTAACTGCTTTGAATCATATGAGTCTACACTGCCATAAAATCAAATTCAATGAAATTCATCTGCATTCAGAAACTGAATTATAAATCAGTGTAGATGGGATCCCAGACTGTGGCACTAGTTTGAATATTGATTAGTTTTGAGTAGAAACACTTCAAAGGAAAAGAGAGAAGTAAAAAGTAGCAGGTCTCACAGCTGAGTTTATGGATTGGTCTTTTCTTTTTTGCTGCAACCTGATAGATATTGTTGCCAGGTGACAGTTGATAGAAGAATAAGCCTGATGATTTTAGTTTTTAGATTGGTTCTGCTTCCCTTCACACATTCACTGCAGCCTGAGGAATTATTATGCTACAGATGGATGAAAATAATATTTAGCACTCTCCAGGAGTTCAAATGCTTCCAAAAATATCCTCAGTGAAGTGAAGCAGCTCTTTGAAGCAGGTCAGACAGCAGTATCGCTATTCTCCATATTGCATAAGATAGGGAAAGATGAAACTGAGTTGCCTAAAGTACCTAAAATGGTACATTTGATATTTGAATTAACTACTTACATTAGTGAGTACATTGTCTAACCTTATAGCATTATTTCTCTTGAAGTATTTTCATATTATGCCTGCAAATAAATAATTATGGTTCACTTCCTCAGCTTATGTCAATACTGAATGTTATGCCAATTATAAGATACATCCCACTGAAATAAATGAGAATAATCTTTTAATTGCAATCATGGCTTACAAATACTAAAATTACTCAGAGAGATATTTATTTATTTACAGTATTTGTACACCGCTTTTCTCACCCCGAGGGAGATTCAAAGCGGTTTACACATAAGTAATGGCAAAATTCAATGCCAGTACAAACAATTGCAATTATACACTACAATTAGACATAAATCAAATTAAAACAATACACCCATAAGCCATAAAATAATCATTAAAACCATAAAACAGTCTCAGCCGTCAAATCGCCGTTCCAGTCATTGTCTTTTCGAAATGCTGCAAACATTTACTTCTACTGCCCGAAGGCCTGGTCCCAAAACCGTGATTTAATTTTTTTTCTAAAAGCCAGGAGGGAGGGAGCAGATTTTACCTCATTTGGGAGTGTGTTCCATAGGGCCACACTGTCTCTCATCCCCGTCAGACGCATCTGTGCTGTTGATGGGAGTGAGAGCAGGGCCTCCCCAGATGATCTTAGATCATGAGATGGGAAGTAGGGATGGATATGTTCGGACAAGTAAGCTGGGCCAGATACTCAAAGCTTTTCCCTGAAAAAAAAAATCATCATCATCATGAAGAGAAGCTAGGAGAAAGCCTGTTTTCACAAGATAGGAATTATCTGTTATGCTGATGCCTTGGTTACTTTTCATGATGTCTATAAAATGTCTTCTTTCAATAAAATGTATTTAATGTGGTTTGAAACTTGTTGCCCTAGCTGGAAACCAGCATATACGATTCTGAAAAAACATGAAGAATACTTGGAGAAAGAACTTCAGAATTATCAAGAAACAACAGAAAAAGACAAGTATGAAAGAAACTTTAATAGCTTTATTATAACAATTGCACATACAGTAGAGTCTTGCTTATCCAACCTTCACTCATCCAACATTCTGTATTATCCAACACAGTATGTCTCCTGCCCAGATCCACAGCTGTTTCAATACATTGCGATGTTATGGTGCTAAATTCGTAAATACAGTAATTACTACATAATGTTACCATGTATTGAACTGCCTTTTCTGTCTGTCTGTTGTAAAACACAATGTTTTAGTGCTTAATTTGTAGAATCTTAATGTAATTTGATGTTTAATAGGCTTTTCCTTAATCCCTCCTTATTATCCAACATTTTGCTTATCCAATGTTCTGCCATTTATGTTGGATAACCAAGACTCTACTGTAACATTATTACTTATAACCATTGTATGCATTACATAGAGACATGTGAAAACTGTGTTTCAGAAAATAAGAACGTACATTTCTTTGGAGATGTAAAGCTGGGATGCCACAGCATTTAATTTGCTAAATACAGCACCTTACATTCTGTCTCTTAACAGCAATTTAATACAAAAATGCAAGAGCTCCTATATATTCCTAATGAAGGAATACAGCATATTGTATTAGAAGAAGTTGCTTTTTTTGAAAAGATAATTAATTGGCATCTAGGGGTAACTGTATTTTTTTGTTTTAAAAGGAAAATGTACCAAGATTATATGCATCAGTATCAAGAAACTTTCCAGCAGCACCAAGCAAAATATGCACAAACTGCAATTGCTCAGGAATATTATCAAGAAAAAAAGGAATGCGAAGAAATCCAAAGCCGAGTTTTCAAACAGTCTGAATTATTTAAACAGAAGGAAGATCAGATAAATGATCTTAAAGGTAACAGCATAATTTCCTGTATTGTCATTACTTTAAATTAAATGCATAACTCTAGAGCACATTTAAAGGTTAATTCAACATGATATGCTAAGTCCTCCAAAGGTAATGCCCAGTCTAGATATTTCACCTGCCGTTCATCTAATAATAGTGAAAAGCACTGATGCAGTCCTGTGATCACCAATTCCTGTTTTTTCAAACCAAGTTCGGATGTGTTCAGGCTAGCAGTGCTTTTTTTTAAAATATAAATTCATTAACATAACATTTGGTCTAAAAGCTTAATGACTAGAAGTGTAAATTTACTCACCAGTGTAAATAGTGAGCCAACTGAATTCATTCTTGAAGATGTATCATCTGGCCATGGCAACACATGCCTTAATTGCATCTTTTCTGGACTACGGTTATAATGCTTTCATCTACAAATACTTTACATAGGGCCGACTTCGAAAGGTGTTCCAGATTATTATCCTCTAGGCTGTTGATTAGATCTAGTTGCAAGAACTAGCTGTTTCAGCATCTTCACAGGCTTGTTCTGACATTATATAAAGATAATGCCCAGAACAAGGGGCAAACTGAAATCAGTTGTGACAATCCTCCAAAATCCTCTGGACCATCCTCCAAGACCTCACCTCTGAGGATGCTTGCCATAGATGCAGGCGAAACATCAGGAGAAATGCCTCTAGAATATGGCCATATAGCCCGAAAAAACCCACAAGAACTGAGCATCCTCCAAAAAATTGGGTGCCCAAGCAAATTTGTGAACATCCTGCGGCTCCTCAATGATGACATGATGGCAACAGTCTTGGACAGCAATGGCTCCCAAAGTGGCCCATTTAAGGAGGAATCAGGTTATTGCCCCAACTTTATTCTCCATCTTCATTGCTATGATACCTCACCTTGTTGACGGGAAGCTTCCCACCTACACGAAGCTTGGCCTGTCACTGAACATCGAGAAAACCAAAGTGCTGTTCCAGCAGTCACCAGCCAATCCCTCTCCAATGCCAGAGATACAGCTTAATGGTGTAACATTAGAAAATGTTGACCATTTCCGCTACCTTGGCAGCCACCTCTCCACCAAAGTCAACATCGACACTGAAATACAACACCGCCTGAGCTCTGCAAGTGCAGCATTTTTTCGAATGAAGCAGAGAGTGTTTGAGGACCGGGACATCCGTAGGGATACCAAGGTGCTTGTCTATAAAGCTATTGTCCTCCCACCCCTGCTATATGCCTGCGAAACGTGGACTGTCTACAGACGTCACATGCAACTCCTGGAACGATTCCATCAGCGCTGCCTCCGGAAAATCCTGCAAATATCTTGGGAAGACAAGCGGACAAACGTCAGCGTGCTGGAAGAAGCAAAGACCACCAGCATTGAAGTGATGGTCCTCTGCCATCAACTCCGCTGGACCGGCCACGTTGTCCGGATGCCTGACCACCGTCTCCCAAAGCAGTTGCTCTACTCTGAACTTAAGAACGGAAAACGAATGTTGGTGGACAGGAAAAGAGATTTAAAGATGGGCTCAAAGCCAACCTTAAAAACTCTGGCATAGACACTGAGAACTGGGAAGCCCTGGCCCTTGAGCGCTCCAGCTGGAGGTCAGCTGTGACCAGCAGTGCTGCAGAATTTGAGGAGGCACGAGTGGAGGGTGAAAGAGAGAAACGTGCCAGGAGGAAGGCGCGTCAAGCCAACCCCGACCGGGACCACCTTCCACCTGGAAACCAATGCCTTCACTATGGGAGAAGATGTGGGTCAAGAATTGGGCTCCACAGCCACCTACAAACCCACAAAAATAGTCATCAAGGAAGACCATCTTACTCGTCCAACGAGGGATCACCTAAGTAAGTAAGTAATGCCCAGAACAAGGGGCAAACTGAAATCAGTTGTGACAATGAGCTCTGAAAAGAAGACATAACATAAAAGATTATCCTATTTTACCCTTATGATAACATGCCTCAAGCAGCAGCAACAGGTGTAATCAAGACAAACAATGTATTTTATGAAAATACGGCCACTAATTTAAAGCTAACAATATGTGCTCTATTTATTGGGGTGGACAAAAGGCCAGTCACACATACACATACAAAACAAAAACAAAACAGGAACCTCAAAAATAAGTGATCAACTTATTGAATGCAAGATACCATCTTCTCTGAATATGGGGTTTTGTCAGATATTCCGTACTTACTATGTTTTTATCTACACGTGTACTGTAGAAATTGAACAGAATACATAAGATGAAGACATTAAATTTTGTTATATAAATAGTGATTAGTGCATTCATTTAATGTGAGGAAGTTGGAAAAGTACCATTAACAACTCATCCATTGGATTGCTGTGTCACAGATGACAGAAAGCCTGCAGGTTCTGGTGGCAACATTTCAAGATCTGAAGCACTGGCTTTCCTCTGGCTAGGATTTATAAATAAATCTGCTGAAGCTTGAGATTCTTGACAGAATCATTTTACACCACCCAAAATATACTTTTTTTCTTTTTGCAAAAAAGTACATTTTGCCTTTTAAAGTCACAGGGCGTCAAACTCATTTTCACTGAGGGCCACATCTGCTATATGGTTGCCTTCAATAATAATAATATATTATAATAATGGATTCAAAGGCCAGTTGAATCCATGGACAGAGAATCTGTAAACTCAGAGGGACAACTTTAATTTTTTATAAAGAGTGGCTGGTGCTCTTTACTTTTTACCCAGTTTGGGTCCCCAGATGTTATTGAAGAACAACTCCTATCACATCTGCCATGTGGACTGAGGATAATGGAAATTGTAACCCAACAGCACTTGTGGCTCTGATGTTGGGCCAAAAGTTAAAGGCTATTTTGACATCAGACATATCCACAAGCCTTGAATCTGAATTCAAACTGTTGATTAAACAAAACAAACTGCAACCTTCCCGAGGTTACTGTATTATATTTTCCTCCAGTGTTTGTCATGATGTCTAAAGATGAGGAATACAGGAGTTTAATGCAGCATCTGGAGTGCCACCAAAAAAATGACATGGCAGGCTGAATTCAGTCCACAGGCCTTGCATTTGACACGTGTTCTAAGCTTAAAACACACACTCTGTATGTTTGAAAAATGAAAATGGCTAATCATAAATACGAACAAGATAATGAATATGGAAATGAATATAATTTCTTCTATGTTTAAAGAAAATGCAAAATGTCAAAACAAGCAAAGAATGGTACAAGAATGCAGGTGAGATCTGAAGAACAAAAAATAGTTTTTTATATTCCTGCATTCAATTTACCTGACATCATCACTGATGAGAACAATAGACACATTGCCTCTATTGACTGGTTTTGTTTTGTACTGTATATGCATGCCATCTCTTTGAGAATAGTTTTTATTTCAAATGCATACCCAAGATTAATTCATGAATATTGTATTTTCCAGATCCTGGTCAGTTTCAGTCACTTTCATCCTGGGCTTTACAGATGTATCCATACATTCAATTTATTCATCACATTTTAGGAGGAACCTTTATATAGATCTTTACAAAATTTTGATGGTTTTGTTGTTACAGTTCCAAGGTGTTATTTCAATTGAACTACACACATAGCTCACATTTCTTTTGGCTCTTGGAAAATCACTGAACTGTAAGGTATCTTGCTATTGTAATCAATGTCATGAGCAAATAAGAAATATAAGCTTAAAGCAGATCTCTTTAGTTGAATCTTAACTGTTATGAGATTATTATTTGTTTTAAATTATAGCAAACATTTGTTTGAATTACACCTAATGCTAAAGTAGTGCTTTATTATTATTATTATTTAAAAAATAGATTGTGAGTTCATGCTGAACCATTGGCATAGGATGCAATAAAATTAGGATAAATATACTGTATATATAGATTGCAAAGAAAACAAAACATTTCTGCTTATGTCTTATTTGAAATGTTATTCTCAAAATATAATGGTTAATTTTATTCTAGGTATAAAAAGCAGAGCAGAAGCTCATCTTTCCATTAACCATTATTTATTTATTTATTTACTATTCTTGTATACCGCTGTATCTCAAGCCCGAGGGCAACATTATACAACCAAAATTTTGGATAATATCAGTGAAGTTAATCCTCAGCTCAGTTGAAGTATTAGGATCTGAGTTGTTTGGGTGCTGAATTCACACGACTCAGCACACATGTGTTATGGTACTTAGAATGATAGGAGGTGCCTTATGATCCATTAGGCCCAACCTCCAGCCTAGTGCAGGTTCTCCAGATAGAGCATCCCCAGCGGACAGTTGTCTAGTTTCCTTTAGGGAAAAACAGAGAAGGAAATATATTGTCGAAAGCTCTTGTGGCTGGAATCACTGGATTACTGTAAGTTTTTCGGGCTGTATGGCCATGTTCCAGAAGCATTCTCTCCTGATGTTTCACCTGCATCTATGGCAGGCATCCTCAGAGGTTGTGAGGTCAGAGGTTGTGAAACTTTACAACCTCTGAGGATGCCTGCCATAGATGCAGGCAAAACATCAGGAGTGAATGTTTCTGGAATATTGCCATACTGCCCAAAAACATACAGCAACCCAGAGAAGAAAATACCACCACCACTCTAGGCAATAGATTCTATTGCTGAACTACTCTCACTGTCAAGAAATTCCTTATAGTGTTTAATTGAAATCTATCCTTCTGTATCTTAAACCCATTAGATCTAGTTCTACTCTCAGAGAGTGGTTCTAGATCTAATCGTTTTATTTCAGGGGTAACCTTTTTGTGGTAGCCCCTGAAGTGATCATATTACCCCATAATCTTCTAATTGTAAGATTGAACAAGACCAGGTTCTTCTACCTCTCCTCATGTTGTTCTCCATATCTCTTATCCTCATTACATTTTTCTAAACTCACTCCAACTCGTCTATATCTTTAAAGTGAAGTGCTCAGGGTGGAACACAGCACTTCAGACGAAGCCTGAGGCTCTTCTCTTTCCCCTTATGTACATTGAGGAGATCTCATTCTGAAGACTCAAGCACTATGTACAGTTTAGTGTCTTCCAATGGTGGGTTATAACATGTCATATACATTGGTTTTGGGAATGATAGAAATTATTTAGGCACCACCATTCACCACAAACATAATTGAATCTGGGTGGTTAATAAGAGTACCAAAATTGAGGAACACAACCATGTGATTCAGCTTATTGATTTCAGTGGTTTAAATTAAAATAATTAGTTGACAGTTGTGTGTGGGTTTTTGATCCCTTTTAGTTTTTTTCATGACTGTTTATCATCCATGTTTTATTGATCCCTTAATATAAGAAACTTAAGCGCTTCTTTGAGCCAGAACACAAAAGAAACTCTAAAACATGCATTGGATCTCAGGCAACAATCACATCAACTATGCAAAACATCAGAAGAGTTAGAAAAGAAAATGAATTATACTAAACAGGTAAAAGTCTGTTATTAAGTTTAATGTTATGTTACAATCTGTGTAAATCTGCTAGTATATAACACCACAGTAGCTAATGGTATATTGTACATGGAGAATATATCAAAGGTGTTTTCCTTGTACTTTCTGAATGGGTTTTCCTGTGTTCTTGCTTTTGTAGCACTATTGTTATTTACCGACTTGAATATCATATTGTCCTAAGAAGACAATGTGCAATTTCCAGTTGAATTGATCATGCATTGAGGATGTTTCTAAAGACATACAGCAGACTATATACTGTATTGTCGAAGGCTTTCATGGCCGGAATCACTGGGTTGTTGTAGGTTTTTCCGGGCTATATGCCCATAATTGGATCAATTACATACTGAATAGGCGGAGAGGCAAGAATCATTCCTGTAAATATTAGTTTTCAAGAAAATGTTTTTAAAAAATATATCCAGATTTGGCTGACATGATTTGATATCAATATTTAATTTATTCCATTTGATTACTGATCACATGGCCATATAGCCCGGAAAAACTTACAACAACCCAGACTATATACTATCCATGATCTCTCACTGCACTCATATTGAACAATCTGTCTCCCATGCTGTCTCCTTGTGCTCTCCTCAAGCCCACTCGCAAATAGGGTTCTAGAAAGAGGACTGGGGAAAGAGAATTGTTTAGTGTTTCCCCTTCTATAATTTTAAAAAAATCAAAATCTCATCTTTATTCCATCTAAAATACTTCAACTTGCTAATCTTGGGAATCAGTTGGGAGTTTGAGACCTGTTTGGGGAAAAAACAATGAAGGCTGAAGTTCCCTATTCTCTAGAGTCCGGTCCAAATAAATAGCATAAGTGATCAGTAATCAAATGGAATAAATTAAATATTGATATATATGCATAATATTTAATGGAACATTTAATGGAATAAATTAAATATTGATATATGCATAATATTTATATAGCATTTTGGTAGTAGTCAAAGCAGTGATCAGTAAATCTTGCAATAATCGTCTAATGCACTATTAGGTCATTACTGTTGTCCTGGTTTGCAGATTTGAGACAATGGCTCAGAGACACATACTTGCCTAAGGCTACTCATTGAGTTGAGTTCAGAATGTAAGGCAATCTTCTGACGGCCATGCTCCAATATTTTTCAGAAGGAATGATGCTGCAGCAATTCTGCAATGTTTTGTGTTTCCTCAAATGCCACAGATGAGTTTGCAGATTAGTCTTATTCAGATATTTTTGTATATAGGCAGTCCCCAAGTTACAAACATCTGACTTATGAACGACTCATAGTTACGAACAGGGATGAGACAACCGGAAGTGAGAGAAATTTCCCCTGCAGAAGGGAAATTTGCTTCTGAAAGAGTTGTCATGGGGGAAAGGTGTCACAATGATCCTTTCTCACCGATCCTTGTTTCTATCAATCCTTGTTTCCACAAAATTATCACAAAGACAGAAAGTGAGGTGAAGTCTGGGTTGTTGTGAGCTTTCTGGGCTTTATGGCCATGTTCCAGAAGCATTTTCTCCTGACGTTCTGCCCACATCTATGGCAGGCATCCTCAGAGGCTGTGGAGTCTCTTGGAAACTTAGTTACTTACTTACTTACTTACTTAGGCGATCCCTCGTTGGACGAGTAAGATGGTCTTCCATTATGGATTTCCCTGTGGGTCCGTATGTGGCTGTGGAGCCCTATTCTTGCTCTGCATCTTCTTCCGCAGTGAGGGCATTGGTTTCCAGGTGGAAGGCGGTCCCGGTCGGGGTTGGCTTGACGCGCCTTCCTCCTGGCACGTTTCTCTCTTTCACCCTCCACTTGTGCCTCCTCAAATTCTGCAGCACTGCTGGTCACAGCTGTCCTCCAGCTGGAGCGCTCAAGGGCCAGGGCTTCCCAGTTCTCAGTGTCTATGCCAGAGTTTTTAAGGTTGGCTTTGAGCCCATCTTTAAATCTCTTTTCCTGTCCACCAACGTTCCGTTTTCCGTTCTTAAGTTCGGAGTAGAGCAACTGCTTTGGGAGACGGTGGTCAGGCATCCGGACAACGTGGCCGGCCCAGCGGAGTTGATGTTGGAGGACCATCGCTTCAATGCTGGTGGTCTTTGCTTCTTCCAGCACACTGACGTTTGTCCGCTTGTCTTCCCAGGAGATTTGCAGGATTTTCCGGAGGCAGCGCTGATGGAATCGTTCCAGGAGTTGCATGTGACGTCTGTAGACAGTCCACGTCTCACAGGCATAGCAGGGTTGGGAGGACAATAGCTTTATAGACAAGCACCTTGGTATCCCTACGGATGTCCCGGTCCTCAAACACTCTCTGCTTCATTCTGGAAAATGCTGCACTTGCAGAGCTCAGGCGGTGTTGTATTTCGGCATCGATGTTGACTTTGGTGGAGAGGTGGCTGCCAAGGTAGCGGAAATGGTCCACATTTTCTAATGTTACACCATTAAGCTGTATTACTGGCATTGGAGAGGGATTGGCTGGTGACTGCTGGAACAGCACCTTGGTTTTCTCAATGTTCAGTGACAGGCCGAGCTTCTCGTATGCTTCTGCGAAGGTGTTTAGAGTGGCTTGTAGATCTTCTTCTGAATGCGCACAGACGACATTGTCATCAGCATACTGGAGTTCTATAACAGCTGTTGTTGTAACCTTGGTTTTGGCTTTCAGTCTGCTGAGGTTGAATAGCTTGCCATCTGTCCGATAGATTATTTCCACTCCGGTGGGAAGCTTCCCATCAACAAGGTGAAGTATCATAGCGATGAAGATGGAGAATAGAGTTGGGGCAATAACACATCCCTGTTTGACACCGGATTCCACTTTAAATGGGTCACTTTGGGAGCCATTGCTGTCCAAGACTGTTGCCATCATGTCATCATGGAGGAGCCGCAGGATGTTCACAAATTTGTTAGGGCACCCGATTTTTGGAGGATGGTCCAGAGAGCGCTGCGATTCACTGTGTCGAATGCCTTTGCAAGGTCGATGAATGCCATGTACAGAGGTTGGTTTTGTTCCCTGCATTTTTCTTGGAGCTGTCGTGCCGTGAAGATCATGTCCACGGTTCCTCTGGAGGGGCGGAAGCCGTTCTGGGATTCTGGGAGGGTGTCTTCTGAGAGGGGCAGAAGGCGGTTTGCAAGGATTCTTGCGAGGATTTTCCCAGCGGAGGTTAGAAGGGAGATACCTCGATAGTTTCCGCAGTCTGTTCTTTCCCCTTTTTTGAAGAGGGTGATGATGGTGGCGTCCTTGAAATCTGCTGGGATTTTCTCGGTCACCCACACTTTTTCTATGAGCTTGTGGAGTTGGTGTGTCAGCTAGGCAAGTGGGGTTTATATATCTGTGGAATGTCCAGGGTGGGAGAAAGAACTCTTGTCTGATTGAGGCAAGTGTGAATGTTGCAATTAGCTAGCTTGATTAGCTTTGATCCTTGCAGATATTCAGACTGGGCAATTGGGGAAGGGAAGTGGAGAGGATGGAGTGATTCCTCCTCTTGCCACTCCCTTGTCATCCTGGCCAACATTTCTGTAGGCAACGGCTGACAGGTGGGACCTGTTTCGTGACTGGAGACAGTATGGGTGGCTGTCCAGCAACACTGAACTGTATTCACTGCTACTGGGTGGTTGAGATTTAATCCTGCTTCTACAGTGGCTGGGGAAGTGTGTGACCATCCTGGGATCGATCCACCATATGGCACACCAATCGACCCCGGTTTAGTGGGTCAGTGTAGATCTGTCCTAATTCACTTTAATACATTTTATGATGGAAAGATACAAGTCCTAGTTTATTGAAGCATGCTATGGAAACATGACATTGTCTCCTGTTCAGAATACATTTCCAGCAAAGTTTTAAGGGGGCCATCAAAGTGGGTCTTAAAGTCTGCAGGATATAATTTGCAATACGATATAATGCAATACATTAAAAATACAGAAATAACATGAAAACATAAAAAAAACAGATAAAATGATCATATTTCTTTGTATCATTTTTAGCAACTGGCAAAGATTACAGAGGTTCAAAAGAATCCTGAAAGTCAAAAGCATCCTGAAGTGACAACAGAAAAAAATCTAGAAGCAAGAAGGGCTCCTAATGAAAGGTAGCATTTTCAAGTCAATCTTATGTCACATGGCAAAATGTTATGAACAAAATGCTAGTATCCATTTATAAACTTTTGATCCAACATACACTACAAATCTATGCTAATTTTTACCCATTCAACTGTTAAAACTTTCCTCCCAAAATCCAGAAGCTTGATGACTTTGCTAAATACCTACTCCAAAAACACAAGTGAGAAAAACAGCCATTAGTCTACTCTAGTTTATTTATTTATTTATTTCACAGTTTTCTATACCGAGCTTCTCAACCTCATTGAGGGACTCAGCCCGGTTTCCAGCCATAAAAAACATATACACTCATTAAAATATCATATATCACAATTACAAAAACAACTTTAAAAACACTATATATAAAACTACAGTGGTCAGTCGTCCTATTAAGATGGATCTACATCAACTTCCATCCAGGGTCCTATGGTGTTGTCTCATTCATCGAAGGCCTGACTCCACAGCCACGTCTTCACCCGTTTCCTAAATGTTAGGATGGATGGGGCGGTTCTGGCCTCCAGAGGGAGAGAGTTCCAGAGTCGCGGGGCCACCACCGAGAAGGCCCTGTCCCTCGTCCCCTGTTATGCCAGCTCCATTGTCTGCCAATCTGCTACTGAGCACAATTCAGAGTGCTGGCTTTAGCCTATAAAGCCCTAAACTAGGGGGTCTCAAACATTTTAAACAGAGGGCCAGGTCACAGTCCCTCAAACTGTTGGAGGGCCAGAATATGATTGGAAAAAACATTCCTATGCACACTGCACGTATCTTATTTGTAGTGCACTTTAAACAAATATAAACTTATTAGTATTTCAATGGGAAGTGTGAGCCTGCTTTTGACTGATGAGATAGCGTTGTTGTTGTATGCTTTCAAGTCATTTCAGACTTAAGGTTGACCCTGAGTGAGGGCCGGGTAAATGACCTTGGAGGGCCGTATCCGGCCCCCTGCCCTAAACGGTTCTGGCCAAGCTTACCTGTCCAAACGTATCTCCCTTTATGAACTTTATGTATGTTAAAAATGGTTCCTGTTCTTTTATTAAAATGCCAGTTAACTTTATCAAGCAAGATAAATGGTCTATTTCTGCCAGTTGTAGAACTTTTATTATCAAACTTTCCTTTATTTTTCCATTTTTGCAGATTTTTGCAGATAAAGTAACCTTGCTGCTATAATCACATAATGAAGTCATGTTTGATGTTTGTTGATTTGGAAGTCTGCATAAAAAGAAAGTTTGATCTAGCTGGATTTTGATTTTAAATACCTCTTGTATAAAATTTTCTATCAGTCTACAATATTATTTTGCTTTATTGCATGTCATCCATATATAGTAGAAAGTACCTTAATGAGTTTTACATTTTCAGCATAGATTTTTAGTGTCCTTATACATCTTCAGCAGTGTAACTAGAGTCAGACACCATCTATTAATAATTATGTAAAACATCTCTTTAAGTTAAAAACTCAAAATACCTTTTAAACTGCTTGTAGGGCTTTTTGAGTGATGACATTTCTTCTAATTTTAATTTTTAAAGGTTTCAGGGAGTCAGAGAGTTATTAAAACATCATATTTAATTTGACAACAGTTAAATCTGCTATTATTTCCATTTTGTTATTTCTCACATTTGTGTCGATCCCATTGTCATGCTTAGTGGCATCCAAACAGCATATAGTGTTGAGTGCTAGTTTAGGCATAGATGGCACATCTTCTTAAGCCTGTCTTCAGCTCCAATGTTTCCATCCCTCTCCCCCCTCTCTCCCTTTTGAAATCTGATCATTATGTTTATTCTTTGCTTTCATTCTAGTGCTTGCTCTTTTGTTTCAGCTTATTCATAAAAACTCATAACCTGTTAAATATGAAACAGCAGACAAACACATCATCGAATCGCCCTGTAATTTCTCTGAAATTAATCCAAAATGTACCAACTCTCAGGTCATTGTTTCCACAGAGAGAAAAAGAGACAGGTAATAGATAAACTTGAACTTTTGGGGAACAGGAGAAGTACTGATTTGTTGATACCATGTATCCTTTACATTGCTATTTGATTGGCTTTCTCATGAAAATGATGAGAGCTAGTGGCCATATAGAGAGCTGCCTTGGGCACAAGAGACTCTCCACTTCAGAAACTGCTTCACAGATTTGGATGATGTTGGGCATAACAATGGAGAGAGCAGGTATACCCTTCTAAGGTATTTACGTTATTCAGTCTTTAGAATGGGTGAGCACAGCTTTAGAATTATCAGGATCTTGGATGAGAGAATATAAGACAGACTTAGCAGATCACACCATGTTCAAGTTATATAAGGAAGCTAGCGCAACAATACAAAAAGAGTTTCGAAAATGATTTCAGTGGAATAATTATTGGCATCCACACCATACCCTGCTCAGCAAAGGAAATGAGAAGATAATTTTAAGTTTAGTAAGTTACACAAAGTGCAGAAATAAGGCCAACATGTTCCCATAACCCTATGTTCTTTATAGGTTTTCAATAAAAATGTGAGTGTGTGAGGAGATCAGAGTAATCTGATTTCTGGAATATTAAATTTATTTTGTGTTTAATATTAAGTGCAGTAATAGCTTTTATTTGATATATATTTATTAACAACTATCAAATGCTGAGTCTGAAGAAATAAGAAAGTATAGTACAATAAAATATTTTAAAATACATCGAAGAACAGACAGGATCTTTTCCTTTTGTTGCGGCATCACCTTGACAATCTACCGTAGATGTTTTTCTTAAAGGGACTGGAGAATAGATGTCTGCAGGTGTTTTTAAAATGTGAGGTAGACAATAGAAATTGATATTTGGAACATGAACATGTAGAAGCATGCCATGTTCAAACAGATCTTATATCTGATATTTCAGAGTTTCCCCTATATTGGTTTACCTCACTTGTTTAAAGCAATCATCTATATTTATTTAGAAATTGATATATTTGTTCTGACATTTAGTAACTACATGCTGACTAAACCTTTTGATTATCTTTTTGTTGTTTATATACATTAAATGTCAGTTTTCTGAGATTAAATGACAATGAAACTAAACAAGGTAGGGCTAATAATTTCTTCATTTGCTGTGATAAAAACATAGGTGTGAAAGAAAACAGAAATCTTGCAGAAAATTCAAAAGTGACCAGTATGTACTTCAACCATGAGGAAAATGAAAAACAGGTACTCAGCTAATATAGCTGCCCTCATAGTTACTGCATGCTGGTGAACAAAGGGTGATCAAGAAGAGTCACTAGCCCATTTTGTGTGGAATTGGTGAAAGAAGCAAAACAGAGTGGGATTTTTTTCATTGAAATTGATAATTTTTCTGATTTATTTCGAGCATTTTTTGATTGGGGTTGACTTTTTGAGAAGACATGCTTTCTGGTTCTGGAGACATGCTCTGGTCCATAAGGAGTGACGATTGCTAGCTGAGGAAATGATGGGGAAAGGACAGATTGCTTACCTGTAAATGTAGTCACATGTGCCCTCACACAAATAGGTCTTGCGTCATACTCATAGTACCCTATTGGCCAAGTCAACCATGGTTTGTCCTTTTCCACCTAACAAGAAGCAGATTTATGTCACTTTCTTATGTTCCCAACTATCTCATTCAGAATGAAAGAATAATTTCATGATTTCACCTTGAATCAAATAAGTCCTTTTAGCCTCTTATAAGGATTCTACAAGTGGTATCGATTCTTCTCCTTTGTAGCATCAAGATCTGTATTGCCTTCTCTGCCTTGAGTGACTACATTCCTATACTTTAAAGTTTGAAAGAATGGGAATTATCACTCTCTACCACAATCATTGCAAACCAACCTTCCAACTCAACTTCCTCTTCATATGCGCATTCTGTAGTGAAGAGTTTTTAAAGGGCTTACATCATGTATACTGTTCTGTGACACCATCAGTGCCAACAAAGTCACCTTCATTAGTACTAAAAGTTTGACCCCTTAGAGCTGTTATCATCAGCTGATGAAAGACTGCTTACTTGGAGAGGTTCATTCCTGTAACTTTGGCATAACATGCAAGCAAACTGTCAGGGTCTACATTCTGATGTACCATTTCTAGTTTTTCATAAACATAAAGTTATCCTGTGCCCAGATGACTTTTCTTTCAAAAGTCATATCCCAATTTCATCTGAATCAGAATATTGTTCTTCTAACCTTTTATTCATGTGTATCCAGCTGACTGGAACAATCTATTTGTACCTTAGATGTACACTGCAAGTTGTCCTATTATATAGAGCACACTGCATCATTCTTTCAGTCCAGTAGACTTTTCTTTCGTTATGGTGACCCTAGCAAAGGTATCCAAGTATCTTAGAAATTTTTTGAAGTGGGTTGTTCAGACAATCAGGTTGAAATACTAATCATCTCTCCCTGAGACTCTGAGAACACATTCCCCAAGAGCCGTGGCTATCTCTGTTGCACTTCTGTGTGGCATTTTCCTAATAGACCACTGCAAAGTCCTGGCGTGGTCATAGTCATCTACCTTCATCCAGCATTAAAAATTAGATTGCAAATTTAGAGAAGATGCCACTTTTAGGATTGGGGCATATCATATAGGTGGGAGGGCATGGAGTGTTACTATTGAGCCGTTGAGCTTTAGAACTTTCCTGTCGCAGACACATTTGGGTGAGGGCCCTCAAAGATACACAGTTACAGGTAAGCAACCTGTTCTTTCCTAATATAGTTTAAGTGGTTTCACAATTAGAAAGAGCATATATATAAATCATTATAGCAAAAGTAGGCAATTATGGTAGGGGCAGAGACCAGTTTTCTTGTCTCTGTGCCCACCAATGGGCTAAACCTCCTCATTTCTTGCTGAAAATTGTCTGAAAACCAGTCATGAAAACATCAAAAGTCTACTTCAGGTTTTCATTACTAGTTTTTTATCAGCTGATTTTGAGAATTTAGGGGGCTAGAGATGTTTGGATCATGCCACTTTTCCCAAGTAACTTTGGGCCACGAGTCTCCCGATTTTCTCAGGGCATCTAGGGGATTTGGGAAGCTGAGGTAGATACAGAGGCTACAGAAAATAATTTGCTCCTGCACATGGTCTAAATTATTCAACCTCTTGTATTATAGTTAAATATAAAAAGTGCAGTCTCATATATCCAGACAGAAAAGATTGCAAATACTAATCATGCCCTTGTTCCTGTATGAATGTATTCTACCCATTGAATAAGTTTCCATCTTCCCGCAACTTGGAAAGTTAAATTTTTAAAAAAGAAATAAATTGCCTTTAATAATCCAAAGCCTTCCCTTCAAAGTAGGCCCCTTCATAGGCTCAATGTAAAGTAACTCTTTATCTCCCCTTCACAAGTTATTAAAATGGTTATACTTTTGCAGCATGCAAACAATTATTTACTAATAAATTATTTTTACCATTAGCATAATAGCTTTTTGTTATCCTTTACTGCTATCAGCTGCTGATTTGTGATAGAAATGATACTGAGGAAATAATGCACACAATTTAATAATATATTTTATTTATTTAGCAAAAACAGAACACTTTAAGCAAATGGTCATGGCATGCCTGTGTAAGCTCCTTTATTTACTGCAACAATTTTACTCAAGTTCTTTTTTTTCAAAAACAAAAGATAGAAAAAGGAATCTGATGACAGCAGAAACAATGTTAGAAAAATTATGACCTGTAAATAGAGGTCAATGGAACTGTATTTATACAGCCTAAGGAAAAGTCAACATGTCTTCAGTTATCATGTTTTATATTGCTTCAACTGGAATATGCCCTTTGTTTTAGAAATGTAATGACATAGCAGAAACCAACATTGCAAAAAATACCCAAGTTTCATCTATAACAAGGCTTCAAAATCAGACACCATTCAGGTAACCTTTTAAACTAAAAAAAATCATTACTGAAAATAGCTTGTATGAAAACAATGCTATTCACAGAAATAAATCATTCTGTCAATTGTCTTAGGTTGCTAACTTATCAGAAGAAACTGAGCAGCAGGCAGTGTTCTGAAAGTGAGACTGCAGAAATAGGTAAAATTCTACTGAAACATTAAGATAGAAAATATGAACATATACATTGGGTGTCAGGATCCTATGATTAGGATCTGCTATGCTTCATATATTAATGTTTTTACAGTATGTATATTGTTACTTCATGCTTGACATATAGTTTGTAGATTGTAGAGTGTAGTTCATCAATAAACAGTCCTGGCCCAATTTACTTGTCCAAACACATCTCCCTCTCCTCTTCCGAGGAGGCCCTGCTCTCTGTCCCGCTAATGTCACAGGCGCAATTGGCGGGGATGAGAGAGAGGGCCTTCTCAGTGATTGCCCCTCAGCTATGGAACTCCCTTCCTAGCAAGATTAGATCAGTTCCCTCCCTCCTGTCCTTCCGAAAGGTGGTAAAACTTGACTGTGGGACCAAGCCTTTGTGACAGTGCAATAAAGCAATATCAGGAATCTATTCAGTATGGCTTTGGTATGGCTGATTTGAGATGGTTTTAATCGATTGGTTTTAAAGTGGAAATGACTCATTTTAAGTGTTTATGTATGTTTATAGTTTATTTTATGTTCTGGCATTGAATGTTTGCTGTATATATGTTGTGCTCTGCCCTGAGTCCCCTTCGGGTTGATAAGGGTGGAATATAAAAATTTTACATAAATAAATAACAGCACTACTATGCACTACAAAAGTACAAATTGCTAATGGGAATTCAAGTATATTCTTGAAGCTGCTAGCTGAAGCTAATTGCCAGTAGAAGCCGGTGCATCATATCTCAGTAACCACATAGACACCTGCAGATAACAGGACAGAATGAGTTGCACATTTATTCTGAGAACAGTTTGCTACCCAAGTACTTTTTCACATAAAAGGTAGAAATGTGAGAATGAGAGTGCTGTAACTGATTGCTTACTAAGGAAAGAGACCATGAAGAATGTAAGGGACATTCATTTGGATGAATGAAAATAATGCACACAAAATATTTGAATGTATAGCCTATAAATCTAAATAACTTGCAGTAGTAACACATACCTGTACTTCAAGTGAGTTTATGTTTGAGACAGCAAAGACTTACAGTTGACAATTAGGTAGCATCCCATTAAAGGTTTTTGAGGATGGGACCATTTTAATGAAAAGTGACATACCATTATCAGCTGTTTACTATAGTTAGTTGTTGCGGCCCTTCCAGGTGTTACTATATTTTCCTCCAGACTTTCAAAATCCTCTCAGGGCCCTTCCACACAGTCATATAACCCAGAATATCAAGGCAGAAAATCCCACAATATCTGCTTTGAACTGGGTTATCTGAGTCCACACTGCCATATATTCCAGTTCAAAGCAGATAATATGGGATTTGTTCTAGAGGCATTTCTCCTGACGTTTTGCCTGCATCTATGGAAAGCATCCTCAGAGGTAGTGAGGTCTGTTGGAAATAGGACAATGGGTTTATATATCTGTGGAATGGCTGGGGTGGGGCAAATAGCTCTTCTCTGCTGGAGCTAGGTGTGAATGTTTCAACTGACCACCTTCATTAGCATTTGAAGGCCTGGCTGAGCCTGGGAAAATCTTTTGTTGAGAGGTGTTAAGATGTGCCTGGTTGTTTCCTCTCTGCTGTTTTGCTGTTGTAATGTTAGAGTTTTTTAATACTGGTAGCCAGATTTTGTTCATTTTCATGGTCTCTTCCTTTCTGTTGAAATTGTCCACATGCTTGTGGATTTCAATGGCTTCTCTGTGTAGTCTGACATGGTGGTTGTTGGTGTGGTCCAGCATTTCTGTGTTCTCAAATAATATGCTGTGTCCAGGCTGGTTCATCAGGTGCTCTGCTATGGCTGACTTCTCTGGTTGAAGTAGTCACCAACAACCACCATGTCAGACTACACAGAGAAGCCATTGAAATCCACAAGCATGTGGACAATTTCAACAGAAAGGAAGAGACCATGAAAATGAACAAAATTTGGCTACCAGTATTAAAAAACTCTAAAATTACAACAGCAAAACAGCAGAGAGGAAACAACCAGGCACATCTTAACACCTCTCAACAAAAGATTTTCCCAGGCTTCAAATGCTAATGAAGGTGGTCAGCTGAAACATTCACACCTAGCTCTAGCAGAGAAGAGCTCTTTGCCCTACCCTAGCCATTCCACAGATATATAAACCCATTGTCCTATTCCAACAGACCTCACTACCTCTGAGGATGCTTGCCATAGATGCAGGCGAAACGTCAGGAGAAATGCCTCTAGAACATGGCCCTATAGCCCGAAAAAACCCACAAGAACCTAGTGATTCCAGCCATGAAAGCCTTCAACAATACAATATGGGATTTTATATAGCTGTGTGGAAGGAGCCTCAGTGATGTCATGCAGAGCTCCCAGATTTATTGCTGGAGATAACTCTTATACTTTTAATGGTTAAACGTATGTATGTGTAGATCTATAGATAGATAGATAGATAGATAGATAGATAGATAGATAGATATTCCCGGCCCCACTTACCTCTCCGAACGCATCTCCACCTATGAACCGGCGAGGACGTTAAGATCGTCCGGGGAGGCCCTGCTCTCGGTCCCGCCAGCGTCACAAGCGCAGTTGGCGGGGACGAGAGACAGGGCCTTCTCGGTGGTGGCCCCTCGGCTATGGAATGCCCTACCAGTGGACATCAGGCAGGCCCCTTCGTTGCTGGTGTTTCGGAGGAGGGTTAAGACGTGGCTCTATGAACAGGCGTTCGGATAACTATGCAATGACAACTAACTCAGTAAGACGGCATTTTGAACAAGGAACGAAAAAGGACTGTGAGAACGGGATCTGATTCTAATTGAGGCGTTGATGACTATATGTGTGTCGTTTGTGTATGTGTGTCTTATTTACTGTCAGTGTTGCCCATTTTTATTGTAAACCGCATTGAGTCGCCGTCTTAGGCTGATAAATGCGGTATACAAATGGAGTAAATAATAAATAAATAAATAAATAGATAGATAGAACACGAATAAAACAACACAAAAGTTGACTACAAAAAAAACCTACTGAGATCACCCTTCCCCCTGAAAGAACAGAGATACAGATCCAATTCCAGAGAGAGAACACAGAAGGTGACCCAAGCTGTTTCTGCCCTACAAGCAATTGATTTTAGAAAACCTGGAGTTAAGAAGCCACCACACATTCTAGTTCCTTGCCTAAAAATGGAATGTTGGAAACTGGCCTACAGTTATCTAGTATAGCGAGGAAAGTTTTTCCTCCAAAAAAGAGGTTTACCACAGCCTTCTTCAAATGTGATAGGAACCTGCTTTTTTTTTTTTTTGTAAGAAAGCATTAATCGCTCCCTTTACCCACTCGGCAAGTCCTTTTCTGACCTTTTAAATTAACCAGGAAAGGCAAGAATCTAGTGTTCGTGTGGTGGTTTTCACCTCACTAAGATGACAACCTTTCCCAGCACACTAGTTTTATGTATTGTCGAAGGCTTTCATGGCCGGAATCACTGGGTTGTTGTAGGTTTTTTCGGGCTATATGGCCATGGTCTATAGGCATTCTCTCCTGATGTTTCGCCTGCATCTATGGCAAGCATCCTCAGAGGTTGTGAGGTCACTACCTCTGAAGATGCTTGCCATAGATGCAGGCGAAACGTCAGGAGAGAATGCCTCTAGACCATGGCCATATAGTCTGAAAAAACCTACAACAACCCACACTAGTTTTAACTGCAAAAGCATCCTAGTCACTGCTGAAACCTCACAATATATTCTATTGAGCCCCAAACCTGTTTAGTAGTAGCACCGGAATTATCAAATATAAATTCAGTTTTCAAATATTGATGTTATAATTTCTTTTTTAAACACAATTTTCTATAACAGAAAAGAAGTCTGACTGGACAGGAAGGGAAGGAGGAAACGAGTCGAAAGATTCTACAAATGTTCCCGAAGTCAGTTTAACTTTCATTTTCTATTTTCTTTACATCAATGCCTAAGATTCTGTACGTTGTTACCTGCAAGGAAGGAACCATCAAGGAATAGGTTAATTCCCATTATAGACATAAGATGATTTAGAAACACATAGCCCATTTACTTGGGCACCTAAATCTGGAGCCGGTCCAGGGCACTTCTGCTTCAGACCAGCTCGAGATTCAGCAGCAACTTCTCAATCTTCTGCTTCTTTTGAGCAATCCTGTTTTAGTTTAAATTGTTGAGTTTGTTGTTACTTGAAATCTGTAATTAATGTTGGGAAATGAAGCTGAAGAAATTTGAACAAGGAGTATATAAGAAAGCACTCACTCTTCTACAGCATAACAGTGCCTGCTTAGTTTCCATCCTAGTGTAGACAAAATGAGCACAATGGTCTATTGGTCTAACTAAATAGAATACTCCCATTACACATGCATATTTATTTCTTTATATTAGATAAATATCTGTCTTGCATACCGAAGATAAAATAGCTTATATTTATGAAAACCACATATTTAGTTCATGTTGCTATAACTAAAAAGACAATATCGAGATGGACTTCTGTTTAACATTTCTTGTTGCTAGGATGAGGAGGAAAATGATAGCATTATTTCAAATGGACATCCATCTACAGAAAGAGAAGAAAGTGCTGAACATTTCCCAAAGACTCCTGAGCCAAACAGACATTCAAGTACTGTTAATACTCCTGGGGTTGAAGCTCCATTTGACTTGTAAGGATTTTTAATTGATAAAATAATTCTCATTATTAAATACTCTTCTACAATAGCAAGCTCAGATTTGGGCTTTTTTGTAACTAAATGTTTTCTTTTTAACATTTTTAACATTCTCTTTTGTTAATTATTCCAGACTTCAGTTAGAAAGTGAAGGATCAACATCTAAGTCACCTGCTTTTTCTTTTTTTACTGGTTTTAATTCAAAATCACCTGGATTAAATTTCTTTGAATCTTCTGCATTTGGAACGGAAAATTCACTAGACCATCAGGTAATATTATATTATCAATATGCAGAGCTGTATGACAAAATATATCATGGGTTAATTGCAAAGAAGTACAATGCAGCGATTAAGAGTTCCAGATTAAAACTTAGGATATGTGCGTTCAGAACACTGCATAACCACAAACCTCAGTGAAGTTGAAATTGAGACATTTGGCAGAAAAGCAGAATGTAGATATAATAAAATATTAGAACCATTCTAATTTTACACGTATAGTAGACCTGAGAAGTATATCATTTATATAAACTTTTTGAAATACAAAGTGGGAAATCTCTCTTTGGGTACTAACATAAGGTTTGTACGCCTCGCGGGAATGGGCCTTGGGGGTACTGCATTGCAGTGGCTCCAGTCGTTCCTCGAGGGTCATTCTCAGAAGGTGTCTTTCGGGGACACCTGCTCGACTCTGCGGCCATTGTACTGTGGAGTCCCGCAGGGTTCAGTTTTGTCCCCTATGTTGTTTAACATATACGTGAAGCCGTTGGGAGAGATCATCCGGAGTTTTGGGGTGCGATGTCATCTGTACGCAGATGATGTCCAACTCTATCACTCTTTTTCACCTGCCACTAAGGAGGCTGTTCAGGTCATGAACCGGTGCTTGGCCGCTGTCTCGGACTGGATGAGGGACAACAGATTGAAACTAAATCCAGACAGGACAGAGGTACTCCTGGTCAGTCGTAAGACCGAACAGGGTACGGGGTTACAGCCTGTGCTGTACGGGGTCACACTCCCCCTAAAAGCACAGGTACGCTGTCTGGGAGTTCTTCTGGATTCATCGCTGAGCCTGGAACCCCAGGTTTCAGCGGTGGTCAGGGGAGCATTCGCACAATTAAAACTTGTGCGCCAGCTGCATCCATACCTTGGGAGGGCTGACTTGGCCACGGTAGTACACGCTTTGGTTACATCCCGCTTAGATTACTGCAATGCTCTCTACGTGGGGTTGCCTCTGAAGACTGCCCGGAAGCTGCAGCAAGTACAACGCGCGGCAGCCAGATTACTAACGGGTGCTGGGTCCAGGGAGCACACCACTCCGCTGTTACTCGAACTCCACTGGCTGCCGATTAGCTTCCGAGCACAATTCAAAGTGCTGGTGTTAACCTATAAAGCCCTAAACGACTCCGGCCCTGTTTACCTCTCCGAACGTATTCTCCCCTACGAACCATCAAGACCACTAAGATCGTCTGGAGGGGCCCTGCTCTCGGTCCCACCGCCTGCACAAGCACGGCTGGTGGGGACGAGGGACAGGGCCTTCTCGATGGTGGCCCCTCGACTTTGGAACTCCCTGCCATTAGAGATCAGAACTCCCCCTCCCTCATGACGTTCAGGAAACTAACAAAGACCTGGTTGTGGAACGCGGCATTTGACAACTGATTTAATTCTTTGCCCACATGAAAGGAGGATGATGAATGGGATTGTGATGGTGTCGGACGATTTGGCTCTTTTAACTGTGATGATAATGTTTTAATGTGTATGGTGCTGATATTTTAATCGTGGTATGAAGTGGCATTGTGTTGTTATTGTATATTCTTTGTATGTTAACACATGTTGTGAACCGGTCCGAATCCCTCTTTGAAGGTGAGAGGGTCGGTATATAAAACCTCGAAATAAATAAATTGTAGGTGGCAATCAAACACGTACATAGGAAGTTAGATGAAGCTCAACTGCCACAACGTTTTTGAGATGAAAGGCCAGGGCCAGCATTTTACATCAGCTTCTTAAATAAGTAATTTCTTCCTCCTCTTCATGCCTCTCTTCTAAGCAGACAATATAAACCCCTTTGTCCAAATGACAGCAAGATTTTAATTTCTTCCTTCCACTCATGGTGGTCATTCTTCTAACACCTTCTTTTGATGCAAGATTCTAATTTCCTGCTCTTCTGGACATGCCCCCACTTAAGCAGGGAATTGAGAATACATTTATAATGTAAAGAAGTAACACAACAAAGTTAAAAATTTGGCATTGTACTAAAAAAAGAAAATTAAATAAACTCAATTTCTCCAGCAATAGCAATGTATTGTGGACCACACATGCTACTGTAATAATTTAGTTTAAGAGCTGGTGAGGTACTGCTGGAATCAACTAAAAATTCATCTTGTGGCCACTATGATTTTCATCTGGATGTGCAGAAGCATAATTCACATTTATTACAGAGTCCACCATGCTAATTTAATGCTCCATCTCATGGGTCATTAAGACAATGTTCACTTTTATCATTGACCTCATCATGCTGTCATAACAGTCTCAATCAGGGCTGCCAAGTTATCACTTTCCAATGATGCTACTGTTGATGCACCAAAGCAGAGATGTGTAGGTGATCATCAAACATGATTCATGGAAAATTAGGCGAAATATAATTGCCACAACCTTTTTGGTTGTTCACCTATTTAGAATTTTGTGAAATTAGTGATCTGTCTCTAGAACAGTGGTTCTCAACCTTTCTAACACTGGGACCTCTAAATATGGTTCCTCATGTTCTGGTGACCCCAACCATAAAATTATTTTCGTTGCTCCTTTATAACTGTAGTTTTGCTACTGTTACAAATCGTAATGTAAATATCTGATATGAAGGATGTGTTTTATTTGTTACAAATTCAACATAATTAAAGCATCATGATTAATCAGAAAAAAATATGGATTTGCAGTACCTTCAACCGATTCAGCGCTGACTGAAGCACTAGAATTTTCAAGCAATAAACATAGAGCAATTTCTTATCAGAGTCCCACATCCAGAATCAAAAAAGATCTTCCTTCATTATCATGGCCATTTCTGGAGGCTTTTAAGTAGCGAAGTATTCAGAAAACAAGCTGAAACAAGCTTTTCCCTGAACATTTTCTCATAAAGAGTACCATGAAAATGCAGCACTGACTCAGACCACAAACTCTGGAAGGAAATATATATGGAGAGAGATCCTATGTCAGCCTAATGTCAAAATAAGGCCCACTGAATATACCAGAATGTAACTTCTGAGCATACATTGGAAGATTGTGCTATAGATCAGTACTAGCCAAAATCAGAAGGGTTTTTTTTTCATATGGTAGCAATTCTGAAATCTCAGTTTTACCATCAAAGCCTCTCTCCCAGTCTGTTGATTTTTCTTACATAGATAATCAAACATAAAACAGCAAAAAAACTACTGTTTTAAGGTGATACATTTCCCAAGTGATTGCTTAGTTTCCTAATTAATTCACTTTCTGTAATGATTACTATTTTGCAGCCAGGTGAAAGCTGTTCTGCTGGAAATATTAATCCAACTTCACCAGAAAAAAATATTGGTAAGCTTTTACAGTAAATAAGTTGTTCCACCAATAACTTCATAAGTTTTACAGAATGTTTAAAATGGCCCCCAGGGCCGTAGACAGAAAAAAAATTCGGGAGGGGTTGAAATTTCGGGGGGGGGGGGTTGAAAATTTCGGGGGTGGGTGGGGTTGAAACCTGCCTCTTAGCTCACACTGAAGCAAAGAGCACAGCAGGGGCAGAGCAGCCTTCAATGGCTTCAATGTCAACCACTTCCACCAAGTCTGGCCTCCTTAATGAAAACATTCAACACACACACACACCCAACTTGGTTGCTTCACTACATTGGCTATTGCTGCAAGTAATGACAGTGTGAATGAATTGTCAATATTTGCCTGAGATAGTGCTTGCAGTTCTGGAGGGACTCTTAAATTTTTGCATCTCATAGACTTAGCAGGGGGATTTGGTTAACCAGTTAAAATTCATGAGTAAACCAGTTTTTAAAAAAAATCTGAAACATTTCGGGGGGGGGGGGGTTGAACCCCTACCCCCCCCCCTCGCTACAGGCCTGGCCCCCATCTGTTCCCATACGGGTTCCAGGAATTTTGAGGCTTAGTGGTTTTTAATGCTTCAGTAGTTCTATCAATCCATACACCAATGAAACACTGTTATCAATGCATTGTCTTGTTTTGTTTAAGTGGAATCAGTTTCAGTTTTTGACAGATGGGAATGTGGAAAAGATGTTTGCATTTGTGTGACCTAGGAACACTGACATCAGGCAAGGCCATGCATATTCTGAACTGAAGCTAATGATAAACAGCATTTGTAAAAAAAGATAATTGACAGTTCCAGATGGGATTGCCCTCCCTCTGAAGAAAAATGTTCCTTGTTGAGTTTACGTTTGGGTTGAATTGTTGTCATTGGAGATCCAGGAGACCTCAGGGTGATTATTGCTTGTTTCTTTTGACAACCAGGAGCAACTTTGGGCTGACTTTGGCATATGTGGCCTGTGTAGACAGGCCTCTAGTGTATTACTCGGGTGTTCCTATATTATACCTGTGTTACAGGAGCTGCACTGATGGCCTATGAACTATTGAGCTTCAAAGTTCAGCTGCTGTAAATACAAAGCTATAAATAACTTGGGACTATAACACCTGACAGACGTCCTTCCCTTATACATCCAGCTAGCTTCTGAGATTTCACAGTCTATAGAATGTTGTCATGTAAGATAATAAAAATGGATCTTCTAATAGTGATATGTGACCCACTTTTCTGGAATACCTGCCCATGTAGGATTTAGGAGGAATAAAGTATGGAAGGTTTAAACTCATTTTGAAAGTGTGCTAATTTATACAAGTTTCCCCCACCACTTGAAAAACTATGTTTTAGCTGTGGTTTATAGAATTTTGTATGTAACCTTTTTAGAGATTATAATTGTATGAAATTGTATATAAAGATCATAAATAAATACATATTTTCATTCTTTCTTTATTCTCACCTTCAGCAATTATACAACCATTGGAAGCTGAAGTTTCCTTTCAGCACTGATTTTTTTTTAAAAATGTCCATTAAGCATAAAAGAGCAATGTAACAATTTCAAGATCAATATTAAATTTAGCTCAAACAATGTTGTATATATATGTGTGTGTATAATTCATGCTCAGTCACTCTTGATTGTTTTTTTATATAAAGCCAAAAGTTAATTCAGATATTATTCCCTTCAAGGAGATTTGTTTGGGAAAATGGACAGTGAAGATTCATTTGCATTTCCCTTTCAATCCTGCTCTTCTGCTCAAGCTTTTCAAGATGGAAAAGATGACTTCAGTTTCCCTTTTGTGTTTGAATCATCTGAGCCCACATCTCTAAAAGGCTTTCAATCTTCATCACAAAGCAAAAAGCCATTTTCATTTTTTTGAATAGATGCCTTTACTGGATTTAGGGCAGCTTAGCTTTATAAAATGTGCTTGGCTTTCTACATAAATTAAAAGGAACAACCAAAGGTAAAGAATGGATTAAATTCCCAAGTGCTGAAAATTTACATCTAGTTTCATAAATTTTAAAAAGATTAATTTTAGAGTAAATGTCATAGTTTCAGTTTATTAAAATATTTCCATAACTTCTTTTTTTTGGTGAGGGTGAGAGGCATTTATAGAGTAAAATTCCAAGCTTAAGTTGGAACAATTTAAATGTTTGGTACAATTTGTTAAGAATTCAGTTGTCAGTGTCTATAACCAACCATCTTAATGTTATCAGGTTTAGTAAACCTGCTGCAATTTATTTTGGCAACAGAATATCATATTTAATAGTTGTTTTCAATGTTTGGGAGTAGTTTATTGTAAAGCAATGTTAAATAAACATAGAACTTTATTAAACGATAGATATTTCTTCATAAGACCAAAAAGATTCATTAGTCGACACCCATTTGCTATGTTGTAATTAGACTGTGTATCTGTTTCCTATTCCCCTTTATAATCAAAGCACATTTCCTATGGTCATAAAGCAATCCCAAGCATTGAGGCTTTTCAGCAATGTTAGTGGGGCATTGTACGATAACTTGACCAGTCCCCTCCCTCTACTGAGTGTCAGTGTGAGGAGCAAATGCGGAGCAAATGCTGTGGAGTCCTGTTGCAATACTTCTGGAAACGTACTACTACTACTAATGGTATTCTATGTCTTCTTTGTGGTCTCTGAATCACAAAGTTGAGTATTCTGCCCTGCCTGTTTGGAACCTTCTAGAATTACTAGGCAGAAAAACATTTGGCAGTAACCCCACCCACTCACCCAAGTGCATAAAATGTATTTATTTATTTATTTGCGGTATTTGTATATCTCTCTTCTCAACCCCAAAGGGGTCTCCGGGTGGTTCACAGTGTTGGAAACAATTCAATGCCATAAAAAAACCAGTATAAAACATCAAAATTGACCCCCCCCCCTGATAAAACATTAAACATTATTAAGCACATCACATAAAATAACATCAGGCCCAGTTGCCGCCAAAACACCTCAGTTCCTTTTGTCCATGCTGCAGCGAAGTTCAGGAACTTTTGCTCGTTTGGAGGTTATTTTCCTCAAGAGATTTGACTGTAGTCTTGTTCAGAACTTTTTTTCTAGCTGAAATTTTCCTCAGATCACTGTTTTTATTCTTGCTGGGAAGGATGTCTGGGGCTTCACTTGTTCTTGACAGCCTCCATTGCTTTCTTTCTGTTAAGGCTCCACAAGTACTGAGTGTTGCAGCCTAGTTGTGTGATGGCTTCCATGACTAGAATTAAAAAAATGTGAACAGTGTAATGGGAAGCTACCAGACACTGATGGACACTCAAAGTACCTAATATGTCTAGGTGAAGGTCACCTAGTCCAATTTTGCATTAATTGCCAGGCTTTTATTCTGTAGGCTAGGAAAAATCAGGAGGTGAGTCTACAAACCTTCCTGTATCAACAAGCTTCATCTCCATCATCATTGGCATCAATTTCAGTTTCTAAACCTGAGTCAGTATCGAAACCATCAACTTCAAAGCCCTTGACTTAGGTTTAACTGTCCGCTCCCTCATAGAGTTCAACAAAATCAGCTCCACCGTAGACTTCTTTGATGAAGGTGGCAATAAAGGAGGAGGCTGCCTCTCATTCCAAAAAAGACTAAGTTGAAGGAGCCTACTCCCTCTCCTGAGAAGCCTACTACACCGGGCAAGTCTTACAAAGCTGAAGAGGCCAGGAAAAAGAAGGGCCAAAAGCCCTGACACAAAAAGGACTCTCATAAGGCCAGAGGCGAGCTTTCACTCATGGTTGAATCTGAACCACCTGCAAAACAGAGGGTATCAATACCCCTGCCCTTGATGGGTACTTCTGAAGGTAAAAAAAAATTAAAAGGTTCTGAAAGGACTGCACCACATATACTTTCCTGTACAACCACTATCTACTCCCTGCTTCATGTCACTGGTGCTCTCCCAATTGATGGGTTCATCTTTTGAGTCACTGGCATCTACTGATAAGAGGCTTCTCACTCTAAAGGTTATGTTCCTCATGTCCATAAAGTCTGGAAGGACACGCTAGTGAATTCACAGTCCTGTATTCAGACATGCAGTTCCTGGTTTTCCCAAAAAGAGAAGGTAGTGCTTCAACTAGATGTGTCCTTCCTTGCAAAGGTCGTGCCCAGTTCTGTCTGAACCAAGATATAGTTCTACATAGAGCACATACTATATATCCATTCAGTCCAACAGACTGTTCATTTGTTATGGAGGCCCTAAAAAGGTATCTAGATCTCATCTCACAGACTATCAAACTGGGTTGTTGAGAAAATTCAGCGAGCAAAGTCTCATCAAGCTCTGAAACTTTGAGAGATTCCAAAAGAACTCCTGTGAGATCTGTGTAATGCTGCTCCATGATCTCAGCCATCCATTCTCATTAAGGATTACAGACTGGACTGTGGCATCACCCAAAACTGGCTAATGCCAGGTGTCCTTTCTTCTGTCATACTGTACCTTGCACACTATTCTCTGACCATGATGAAGAACAGGTTGCTTACCAACAACTGTGTTTCTTCTAGTGGTCTTCAGTGCCCTTAAACAAACCTCTTTCCCCTCTTTCATGTCCCCAATACTATGTCAACAAATTTTGAACAATGCTTTGGGACATGCATGGTTGGTAGGAAGCAACAGGGATGTTTCTCCCAAGCTCATGAGTTCTAGAACTGTCAGGATGGTGTCTCTATGGAAGTGCAAAACTCATTTGTGTGATGGCGATGAGGACCACTTGAAGAACCACAGTCACACATCTTGACAATGTTGTTCATCTACCTCTTCCAGGATTTCATCCTTGATTCAATCTACCCTAGGGAGAAGGTCTCTGGCTAAGTGCCAGTTCTGATACAGTTCCAATGATAATTGATATCACTGACATGTATCTAAAGAGCATCAGCATTGCCAGCTCATTCATGAACATTACATTGAGATGTGCTTCAATCGTTTTCGACATCCTTCATTTTTTCATTCTCTAAGGAGATTAATTATGACATTGAGTGTGGTCATCACCTCATGCAAGATCCTCATTACCGTCACCACTATTATGCTTCATACTATTATTGATCCCCTGATAATCAGTCCCGTAATAGTACTTGGTATTTGCCACATATAGTGTCTCCCCCTCTACTGTCCCACCTGCGATTTTACAACCCTTGCATATTTACCCTTGCATATTTCTTTTCCAACTGCATTTTTTTTGAAAATAATACTATTGTGATTTGATGAGAATAGGGTAGGAATGTTCACTCATTACATCATTTGATTGTGATTTGATGAGAATAGGGTAAAAATGTGCATCCATTACATCATTTTATTGTTGTTACCACTACCTGAAATGTACTCATATACTTTAAAAACTCCTCCCATATACCTTTTTTGGGCAAGGCTTGTAGAACATGTAGAACATGTTCCAGGAATTTCTAGAAAATACTAATAGTTAAGATCCAGTTGAGTCAGGATCCAGATTAGCTATGCAATAGAAACAACTTTGGACACCTCGGTATATACTGGAAACTAGAAAGGAATAGTTTGTCCTGTTGCAGCTTTCAGTGGCTTTGGAAACTATTGCTAATACTATAGTATTCTCTTGGACGTTCCTCTCTGGGATGGATCCAGGAACATAATTTTACAGTGGTTCTGGTCCTTCTTGGAGAGAAGGACACAGCACCAGTAATGCAGATCAGATGCTATGTATGCATGCATATATGTATGCATTTTCCAAATCAGATCAGTTGTTAATTGCTGTCAAGTAGTTTCAACTTATAGAGAACCTAGGAGTGAAAGATCTTCAAGGCATCTTGTTATTGTCAGCCCTGTTCAGATCTTGCCAACTGATGTCCATGTCCTGATTGAATCAATCCACCTATACTGCAGTCTTCCTCTTTTTACCTTCCATTGTAGCAAGCAAAATCATGGCTCACATTATGTCCAAAGTACAATAGCCTCAGCTTATTCATTTTAGCTTCTAAGAAGAGTTCAAGGTTGCTTTGATTTCAGACTCATTTGTTTGTCTTTTTGGCAGCTCTTGGTATCTATACAACTCCTCTTCAACACCACATTTCAGTGGAGATTATTTCTTTCCTGTCAATATTCAAATCAATAGTGACCGTCGGTTCAAAACTATAGCAATAACTATCATTGCAGGGTGGGGGGAATAGGCAAAATCCCAGTAAATAATAAAGAGAAGGAATGGATTCTCAAACTTCAGAGAGCACACCTGGATTATTGTTTTCCTCAGAACCTGAGCTCCTGCAAGCTTCCTTGCCTTCAAGGCTGAACGGCTCATTTACTCTCTGTTGCCTTGACTTTTTTTTTTAATGTTGTAGCTCTTGACATCTACAGAGTTGACACAAGTCACATACAATCAAGTCTCCGTTCCTGGTGGACAGGCCCTGTCCTAATGTTCTCTGACTCACACCCAGGTTGTCTGCAGCTCAGCAGTTCTGCTTCCAGACACATCACTTTGTGTTCCCATGTTAACATCTTGCTGGGAAATTGCCTTTTGGCATGCCGTTCTTCTTACCTATGCTTGATTTGATGTGAATATGATGCTCTTTTTTTGAGCACTTGTAACAGTTCACCTTTGGAAAGGTAACTTCATAGTGTTTGCTCTTTTCTCCTCTACCCTACCCTCTCATTTATAACAGAATTTACAACACTATTCAAGAGGTAGAGAGATGATGGATGCATGGACGGATAGACGGATGGATAGATAGATAGATAGATAGATAGATAGATAGATAGATAGATAGATAGATAGATAGAAAAATATATGGATAGACAGGTAGAACAAATCAAGATCACATTCCTTAAGATCCTCAAAATGCTATATTGGAGTATTGGTGTGATCATCACCTCTCCCTAACTTCCTTTAAATGTTTTTTTTGTAATAATCTAGTGTTTGTAATACACTTAAGAGACAAACAGTGTGTAAATTTTCACTTTATTTCCCCAGAGGCATTTTCAAGAAATGAAGACAGAAGTTACACTCGGTTTTTCAGCCACTCAA